GTTATTTTGTGTTATCGATATATCAACTCTTGGCAACACAATTTTTTTCGTAGGTATTTTTGTTTACCTTTCGCTTTGGCGTACAGGACACGGTAGTGCGTTTTTGGCGTGGCGCTCAAAGGTTAATTACTGAGTTTGGCTCATACGGAACACAATAGTGAGATGCTACTTTGAATTCTTTTACGCCGCCACCAAATTCGAATATCAATCTAAATCTGATGATATAAGTAGCTCATGTATAAAGCGCATACTAGAAACTAGATAATAAATACTATATTAACGTTGAAAGTATTAAAGATAGAAACCATGATAGATATACTGTTACAAATTAGCCGACGAACTATAACAGTACAATATATTCAGTATTTAAAAAAAAGGAAAATCTGCAGAAAATCAGAAACTGCGTTCGAAATAACACACTGTAACACAGGTCTTGCAGTGTCTTTTATATGGCCGAGGAGGATGATGGCTGCCACATAACTCATACTTGTTAACAAGTGTTTATTGTAGAAGGTAGTCTCATCGATTTTGTCATGTAAAAAATAAAAAAAAGTTCTTTTATTTCATTCCAGAGTAACTTAAACGTGTAATGTCTCCTTTTCCATAGTCGCCTTATATCTTACGACATTAACAAAGTGATCTGGGATAATGGATTATCGTAGCAATACATAGGTACCTTGTTTTGGCCACTTACAAACTGATATTTAAAAGCATAGTTTTTTAAATATTAACTTTTGGCGGCATTTTGAATTCATGAACGGATTTTTTTAGTCTATGCGAACTGTCGTTGAAAAAGATGAGAGAGCTTAAATGGTTTTATATATAAACCTCAATTTCTTTAGGTGCCTAGAAATAGCATCTACATAAAAGGGCTGTCGTCGAAATCAATATCTTCAGCCCCCAAACATCATGTAAAAAAAAATGTGAACAAAATGCATGTTAAACTAGGCTCTATCGGCACAGATTTCTTTGCATTTAATTAATAAAAAAAGTGAAATATTATATTTTTAGTAAACCGTTAATTGTTAAAAAGTACCGGGAAATACTTTTAAAATGCTCACTGATAAGGATACAAAATTATTCAGTGAAAACCTTTTTAAGGAAGATAGCGCTATAGATTCTAAAACAGGCATGTTTTTAAAGGTTTAGTTTATTTTTAAATTTAGCTCTTTCTGAATTAAATTGTTGTGTAATTATTTTTTCAGATATATTTTGCAATGTTACGAAAAGTTCTAGTGTGAATAGCTCGGTACCATCAACTAACGACTTTCCGCCGCATTTATTTAACAATCGTAAACAAAATAATAAAAATGTGAAAAAGTCAATTAAATTTAAGCCGCCCATGAAAAAGGTTAGCCTTGATGATAGAAGCGCAACTCAAAATAAAAATGCAATTCAGATTCAGAATGATCAACCTAAACGTATGAATCACAGAAATATACAGAAAAGTGTTACAAAAACCATAGAAGATAGTTACATTGATTTAAAAAGTGCTGAAAATTTACAACAATCTTATACTAGCACGGATATAATTAATGAAACAACGCCTCGTGAAAAAAGAACAGAAAAGGCATCATTAGGAAGTCTTATATGTGGCTCGCTTAATGTTTTAAACGATGATGATATATTCCCTTCCCTTCAATCCCCTTCTCAAGAAATACCTAACTCACAGTTCACTGACAATTCAAGTGTGAAAAATTTATCACTTAGTCGCAATGCATCTTTCTGTTCCGTAACTTCGGTAAATAAAACTTACACTAATTTAGATTATAACGAAAATGAGGTGACGGACGAATCTTCGTATCATATACCTTCGGGAGATGAATTTCTAAAATTATTTAAAGGTAAAAGTAAAGTTACGCAAGCGTGTTCTGTTGCAATGTCGACAGAATTTGGTGATATGGGTTTTAATATGAGATATTCGGATTATATAAAAGAAGTGCCTTATCACCACACACAAAATTCTCAAGAAGGTACTGATGAAACTGTCAGGAAAATACTTAATATTTATCCAAAAGAAAACGAAGATTTTATAAAAATTAATCAAAAAAAGTAACATTCTATTACTATAGTTTGTGTTATAATTTCGTAATTAAATATAAAATGAATTTATTTCAATTATGAATGTGACATTATTACTCTTATGTATATAACGTTAACTTAATTTTAATTTGTTTATCTATCTAATCTTAAAAATATTCGCTTCATAATTCATAATTATTTAATTGCATAGAATGTAGGTGATATTCTAATATTATATTCAAGAGATATTAATTTTATATTTTACTATAAGAGTATTGTTAAACCCATCGATCACTAATAAAGAACGTTTTTTAACTAAACGTTTTTTGTTAGTGATCGATGGTTAAAACATAAAATTCCTATACATTCTGCCTTATCGAGGCGTGCAAATTTTGATTAATTAGATATTATAACAATTTTTTTGATGAATTTGACTTATTTACAAATATCAAAATGTTCATATGTAAAAACAGTAAAATTAACTAACTAATAATTATTCTATAACTATCGAAGTCCTTTATAAATTCACAGTAAAAAATTCAAGCATTTTTGATAGAGATATTTAAATATGTAATTTGTTTTGATTTTTGTGATCAAGATACTCATCAACAGTATAGAAACAATTAAGTAAAAGCCATTCATGAAGTTTTTTTTTTACTTTGTCATTAGGAAATTTTTAAACTCGTCGGGTAAAGAGTTAAAGATTTTAATTGGAAGAGCATCAATTTACATTTTGGAGAGTATATTCTGTTATTAGATTTTTCTCTTAAACTTATATCTCTTAAAAAATTATTACTTGGGAAGTATTCAGGGAATTGCTTGACCAAAATCGCCGCTTGTTTTATATACATACATGCGATTACTGCCTACATACTCGCACTGCTTGGCACAGGCCTCTCATTTCTAAAGTTATGGATCAATTAGTCCCCGCCTTGTCGCTCCAGTTGGTAGACTTTACATGTCTTCAAAATAATTTTATTTCTTAGGCATATGCAGGTTTCCTAACGATGTTATCCTTTGCCACTGAGCACGTGGTAAAATTTAAATTAATATTACAGTGGTGTCGGCGGGAATCAAATTCTAGGCGCGTACTCTGAAATTTATTGCGAGTGTTTAGCCACCGTGTTACGCCACGATTCTTTATGTTATGGTTTATGTTAGTGTAAATAATTAAAAAAAAGATTAACAGCTTAATGTTATTGTTTATTCCAAGATTTGGCGTAACTTATATATTGGGTCATATATGCTATGAAAAGTATATAGTTGAGTTTTTTTTTTTTTTTAATGTTAAGTATAAAGTTCATTGAATCATTGACTAGTAAATTCTATAGTGTTCAAATTTGCTTTCAATTTTTAAAAATAAAGGTTTTTTGGGTGTTAAGGAACAAATTTATTGGTCATTAATAAACTTAAAGAAGCCTGCTGAATTAAGGTAGTGTTTTGTTAACTGAAATTAGTGTTCTCGTTACACCGTTAGAATCACGTTGCAAGTTGTAGCTGCATTATTATGGCAGCTGTACGAATATGTTGGCTCGGTTGGGAATAGAATACGAGATTAAAATCAGTATTATTTTTGTGTTTCGTGTGCCTAGTGACGAGAACCGGGGACATCTTTCTTGTAACGTATATTATGTTAGTCCTCAGGGGTTACAGCTTATATGCATTTTGATTCTTAATTAAGAAATATGGCTATGGGTCTTGGCATTCCCTTACCATAAGGCGGACTTAACTGTTATAAAGTCTGGAATAGAAGCCTTATTTGTAATATTGTCGCAATTGCAAATCATATCTCAACCCGCTTATATCTGAAAGAATCTCCTTCATTCAACACATTATATAGCCTTGTAAGGTTTAATCCATGTTTATCTAGTTTTTACATGTATGGCGATACTAAAAGTCCTTTTTTTTATAGACTAATGCGAAATTTAAGTAGTTTTAGTATGCTACTCGATTTTAGAACAACTATAGGTACATTTAAGCGAGATAAAATTAGTGCAAGATGGTGAAGTGCGAGAGTATCGCACAATAAAAATAGCCTTTTTAAAATCGGTTAAGACCAGCTTTATAAAAACTTGGTTGAATGAACCGTGTAAAATCGTCAAATGAAACCCTCATAATGTTTAAGGCTCTTATAATTATGAAACCGGCCCTTGTTTATTGTAATCAAGAGCTTCCATAACGTTAAAATGAAGTACCATTTTATTTTCTATGAAATTAAAATTTTCGTTTACCGGAGAAGAAACGACGAAATAAACTTGGAAAAATATCTGATTTCTTTTTTGTATTGGTCGAGAAAAGGCAACATTACAGTTAAAAAAAAACCGATCGGTAACGAAAGCTTGATATGATAAAAAAAACTAGACGTCAATATTTGGAACTCGGTAGCAAATCCGATTAGACCAGCCTTCTTAAGTTACGGTGAAGCTAATAAGCATTATTTACTTTGTCTACATATTTCCCAATAGAATTGAATACATATCAAAATTTAAACTGAACTGAAAAATGGGAGTTTTGGTGGGAACTTGACCAGCGGCTTTACTTAAGAATTAAATAATTTTACAGATAAAATCTTTGGAAAATGGAAATATGTTGGTAGATTTCACATAGTAATAATCATTATGTTTTTTATGCAAATCTTAAATCTAAAATTTTAATTTATGCACGCCTTTGGTTGCCTGGAAGAGATTGCAATGCAGCGATGAGGCCGTCAATTTATACCTTCTACTTGCTCTTTTAATTTTTTCCACTAGTAGTGCCTATTATCGGTATCCATATACTGTTTTGTTTTGGATTAATTGTGAAATTTCTTCTATCGTAGGGTTGATATTTGAAGAAAATTATATTATTTCTACCCTGCGTTCATGGAATAATTTTTTTTATTCGATATAGATTACAAGTAATTCATGCTAATTATAAATATATTTTATGATATAAGAACTGTAGTGAAATGTTTAATTTATTTTTTATTTTGTTAATAGAAGATCCAGACAAGGAAAATATTCTAATCACCTACCTCCCTGATGGGCAATATGTTGGAATAAGGCTGTTCCAATCTCGGCCTACAAGTTTCAAGAACGAAGCCGCCAGGTTGCAATGGGACAAGCAAGCCGCATCTAATGCAATCACATTGAAACTGCAGTTAGGTTTGTGTATTGTTTTTTTTGTTGTTTTTGTACTTTTACAAATTAAGACAATAACAACCTTAACTAACTAATATTGTTTGAAATACTTTTACTAACACACTTTCAAAATATCCAAAAAAGCCCCGGCTGTGTTAATAAATTACTATTATGCACTGCTTATTTTAAGATTATATAAGAACTTTATCTCAGCTTTACTGTATGTTTTGAAAATTGTGTCCTTGGTTTCAATAAAAAAAATATTTCAGAAACCTAAAGATGATTTTCAAATACCTATTCAATGATACCCCACTTGACATAGTCCGTCGACTTTCATTTTTCTTTTTTACAATATGGCGTCTGATTATCGTCATATTGAATTTTCAATAGTATTATATGTATTTAGTGACACTAACGAGATAAAGACAAATCGATAAACAGAATCTTCAAAATCGGCCCACGCGTTTGGTTTCTGCTGTAACTGCAACAAAAGAACAATCATACATACATATATAGGCTGATGAATAAATTACCCTTTGCGTCGCGGAGTCGTCCAATCAAAGCCATACATTAATTTATTAGACACGTGAAATATATTGTTTGAGTATGTAATTTGACAATTTCGTGTGCATGAGCATTCCACAACATTCGCTCGATGTTCCTCGTCACGCGTCTCGCTAACTCGTGCCATTACCTCATAACTAATATACTATAATAGGAATATGGACTTTATGTAAAAGGAAAGACCGAGTACAACTTTTCAGTGACGATTTATCACTTTATTTATAGCACCTTCTTTCGAATCAATTCAACACAACGTAAAGACCCTAACAGAAAAACACGCTGCGTTTGGCAGAAAAAAGCGCTAGCAAGCGATTGTAGCGACACGAAATTAGCTTTAACTGGGGAACCTAACCTAATTTAAATATATGTTTGTAAAGTATTCATATTAAAAACTTACCAATCATGAATTTTAATAACATGTATAATATGTTTATTCATGTTATTATATTACTTGAAAATAATATTGCACTAAACAACTTATAAACTCTACTTCAAAACAAACAAATCAAATAAGCATCCTGGCCAAAAACTGTTTAGTTTCGCCATTTTGCTTACAAGCAAAATGCTTGCTAGCGCTTTTTTTCTGCCAAACGCAGCCAATGTATATCAGATATCAACAACCTGTATGAACGCTTATCATCCTAAAATAAATAATAATTATATTTATAAATATTTCGGCTAGACATAATATTTATTTTCAAAATGTCTGATGATACTACCTTTCATAGATCAAAACGTGATTGCGCTAATATATTCTGAAGCTAGTATTTTACTTATGTCAACAGAGAGAGGTCAAATAACAGCACAGTCTGTCTTAGGACAACTAGTGATGGACCTTCATTTAACAGATGAAGAAAAAGCAACATTGGATAAAGAAAGAGAAACAGGTAATTATAATAAAAATTCCTTGGAATAATTTCAGAAATGTATTTTTTTAATTACGTTTGCCTAATGATTGAAACTAATTTTACGGATACTATCGCGTTTAATTTTGACTTATCGCTATATTAGAACATATCGCTGATGTGAAGCACCGACGCTCCGGGAACTCTGCAGCATGTCAACATGTTCGGATCCTTCCAACCGTTATATCAGATTTGATAGACCACGAATCCACAAATCACGGAAAAGAACACCGATACTTACCAAGGAAGGCTATTTAAATTAAAAAACATCCTAATCAAGAAAAGATGACTGGGTGCTACCATCTGCTTGGGTTCCCATAATTAATAAAACTAAATCCAAACCCAAGCACACTACTGCAAGATACTCTAAGCTCGTTCTTCGTAGATGGGACCAAAAATTAACATTTAAAAGTTGAAGGTAGCCTTCGTTAACTATGGACGTCAGGACGTCAAACACCTTAGTCCCCCCGAGACCATGGGCGCTGGAAAGTGCCCGTAAGGGGGCGTCCATTAGTCACGTGATGTTTTTTTAGCATTTTTAACAACCTCCCCTCCCCCTCTTGGTGATACATGGTGAGGTTTAAGACTTAAAAAATTACGTGTATTTTTAGTACCTATAAAGTTGTGTAAAAATGTCTAGACAGAAAGGTTGCAGGTTGTTTTTTGACTAGCATAAAAATATTATTAAAGGAATTTTGGAACCATGCGAAAACATATATTGTACATGAACATATTTAATATTGTACTAGTACATGAACATATTTAACCTACATTGTCCTCCGACCACTGATTAACAAGACTCTTCAACACTAACAACTGGATAAGCATCTTGCAAGTCAGTTGTTGGCACTGTGCTTTGTAGAAGATCAGCGTCGGTTTCATCAAGCCACTCGGCGTCATCATTTTCGCGCACTACACAGAGAATCTCTCTCGATCTACCGATCGATCGTCGCATGAGGATGCGTGAAGGACGAACATTGTGCATCTCTAGACTATTATTGCTCGGATTAGGTTCATGCTTGTGACATTAATTTACATGTACAGGCGAGTCAAGGTCACATTAGACGCCGCTTTTCGGCTTAGAAATCGCGCGTTTCACGAAAAAATAAATACACGTGATAATCTTACTATACCCCCCTGTCCCCTTGTGATATTCCGTGATTTTTGCAACCCTACCCCCCTTTTCGATCCTCACGTGACTAATGAACGGCCCCTAACGTCGGGAATTAAAAAAAATGCAATTAAACGCGATAGAATCCGGAAAATTAGTTTCATTCCATACATTTTCCTGTTATAATTGTAGTTGTGTAAACAAATATTGAAATTTTACATTCCTCTGAATTTCAGAAGAAAAAAAATCACGCGTACAGTTCTTAAAAACCGAAATGAAGCTTATTGAACTGGAGGCTAAAATAAAAACATGTCTTTGTTTGGAAAAGGCAGACACTGAACTGTGTTTGAAGTTGCTGGATGAGCTGATGGGTATGTATTCTTTTAAAGTGAACTGTTAGCATTGTACTTAAAACACTACAGTTGTTTGTTTGCATTTCTTTTTAGAAAAGTTGTAATAGGCATTTCTTCTGTATCGAGAAGAAATTTTCACAAAATAAACATTTTTTTTGGTATCCATGTAATTGGTTCTGTGTGAGATTTGAACTTGCGTACTGCAGTGATGCAGTCAAATTCTTAGCCGCTGAGTGTAAGGCCGTTTAATATATTATATTCCAAATCATATCAATATAATAAAAAACAAACTTATTTAACTTATCTAAATTGATGTCGTAGAATGGAGGACTAAGTCAATTTATAATATTATAAAGGGTTTTTCAACAAGAACTTTGTTTTCTAAAACAAAATAAAACAAGGAGTTTAGATGAAGATGATTCAAATTTTTATTGTATTACGAAGAGAAAAGTTTGGCAATTATGAATGAAAAATGATATCTGGCAAATGTCCACCACGACCACGCTGACAGATGTGAATTCTTTCATCAAAGTTTTTAATCACTTTTTGGTAAAATGGCGGGTCTATTTGGTTAATCACGTCACGGATTTTGAGTTTTAAGGCCGCGATCGATTCGATTGGCTCCGTATAGACTCTGTCCTTAACATAGCCCCACAAAAAATAATCCAGTGGTGTTAAATCACACGATCTGGCTGGCCATTTAACAGCTGAATTTCGTGAAATTATGAGATCGGGAAATTTGGTTTGCAATAAATTGATCGTTTCGTTGGCTGTGTGACATGTGGCACCGTCCTGTTGAAACCACATGTTTGTGATATCAATGTCATTAATAATAGGCCAAAACTGAGATGTTAACATTTCGCGATAGCGTGATCCATTGACCGTTACCGCATTTCCAGCCTCATCTTCGAAAAAAAACGGCCCAATCACGCCTCCAGACCACATAGAGCAATTGACATGTTGCTGCAAGGTTCTCAATAATCGCTTTAGGATTTTCAGAAGCCCAAATGCGGCAATTTTGCTTGTTGACGTACCTGCAAGTGAAAATGGGCTTCGTCTCAAAAAATGATTTTTTCAGAAAAACCAGTGGGCTGTTCCTGAATGAATTGAGCGAATCTACGGCGATGTGAATGGTCGGTCAGCTTCAATTCCTGCACCAGTTGAACCTTGTAAGGCTTCAAAGTCAAATCCTTACGCAAAATTCGCCATGTGGTGGTTTTGGATAACCCCAATTGTTGAGAACGTCGAGGAATTGACAAATTTGGATCTTCTTCAACACTGTGGCTCACGGCTGCGATGTTTTCGGTTGAACGACCCGGTCGAACACGCGTTGGTGTTGGCAAATTTTGTACCGAGCCTGTCGATTCAAATTTAGCGACCAAATTCTTAATGGCGGTCTCAGAAGAACGATTATGTTGTCCGAAAATATCACGAATTTTACGAAACGTAACTTTAACAGAACCACCATTTTCATAGTGGATTTTAATTATTTTAATGCGATTTTCGAGCGAAATTGAATTCATTGTAGCAATTGCCAAAGCATCTACTACGAATAGGTCAAAAAACTAAATGTCAAAACTGTCATGTCGTTGGTGTTGCCCCGATTGAAAAACAAAGTTCTTGTTGAAAAACCCTTTATTATGACAAAAAGTTATATTCTAACAATTACACACATTCACACTTATCATTTTTGTATGTTTTTGTTCATAATTTAAATTTAGATCTCGTAATATAGCATAAAATAAATATTAATTATAATCAAAAACAATCCGGCCCTACGGTGTAGGGGGGTTGTGTCCTTGGGGGTTATTATAATCTATAAATGTAATTTATTGCCATACACTTTACAAAACCATAAAAAGCCGATAATACATTGTTGGTGTCAAAGAGATCATGAAATTGGCTAAAATTGTTCAAATAATGTTTTAGCGAAATACAAGACTCCAAAAATATTATTTTCCGTAATATCTATGTTGTTTGATATATAGACCCACTTTAATGTTTTTCCAGAACTTGACGTTAAACCATTAATGTTGCTGAAACATCCAACTTGCTTGGAAACTGTAAAGAGAATGCGTGCATATGTTGGTAACACACCGTCTTGGGATCTAAGTGAGAGCGCCGCATTGCTGTTTAGCAAACAAGCTCATCAGATAAGGAAACAAGCAGATACTCTGTATAAAAATATGAAGGTGAATGTAATTTATGTCCATTCCTTGTGTCGTGTTATTTTGAAGTTAAGCATTTGTTGTAAATTTGCATATTCCGCGAGCGAACCGATTTTTTTTTTACAGAAGAAGTGTGACAAATAGGGCACACAGTCCACCTGATGGTAAGTTGATCCTGTGGCCCATAGACATCTTATTTCAATTAAGAATCAAAATGCAGATGCCAGCTCAGATCGAGGCCTTATACCCAGTAAAAAGGGTGTCTAGGGTTCTCTACACTCACCATACGAAATACAGCAGCATTAAGCCGCTAGTTTTTTGTTTCTAGCTAGCCGAAGCTGCCACTCGAGAATCTTTCTTCACCATCAGTTGTCGATTTTTCGAGGCCGGCCAATTGCCACTTCAGCTTAAAGATACGTTACGCTTGGTCGGTTACTTTTGTTCTACTGCCGATATTCTAATTGCGAAGTTTTACGAAACTCCGAGTGTGAAACTCGTTGAGCGACCTTCAGGTTTCTCATACAGCCGGCAGTGTAGGACCATGTCTGATCCAGTCATGGCAATATGTACTAATTGTACACTTTTGTTTTCAAGTTTTGGGATATACTTGACCAGATGATGTGCTGTATTTTGGATGGTGCCCAGTACTCAAAACTTGTTGGCCAATTTGTCCTATGTAAACATTCTCGTCAACAATTTCGAGCATAGTGATGCCAACTACTACCTGCATAGGTGTAACATGGATGTTGTTTACATGTGGACTCCATTACCAAAAGACTAAAACTTGCTGGAGTAAATTTTAAATATATCTATTCTGTACAGGTTTTAATTTATGTCTATTTTTACAGGCATTATTTAGGACACAAGAAGATATTTCTTTTTGGGAGTCTTTCTCAGATAGAGTTGTACAATTTAAGAAAGTTACCTCGAAGCTTACCCCAGATGAATTACTTGAAATGGTGCATGAACCCTTAGGTAAACAGATATAACGATTATTGATTTTATTTTATGTATTTATCTTATTAGATTAGTAGTATCTTTATTAATTTTTTTAATGTCATGTTCACAGAAATGTCACTACCTACATCACATACAATGAAGGCATCCATTGAGGCTGCTAATGAGGAGGATCCTCCAGAAGACGAGAATAATTCCAAGAAGAAAACTACTCCAGGTATTTTATTTCATACTGTTGCTTATATTGTATAGATAGATTGCTACAGAAAAATTTCAATATAATAACTGAATATTGATATAAAGGTGTAAGGTTCCTCAATGATTTTTTACTTGTTTATATTTTATCTATTCAGGGTTATTTTTAAAAGAGTAGCCAAATTTTAAACTTAATTTCAAATATGTAAATAATGATATTATAACCAGCAGTTTTTGAATATACTAGTAAATAAGGCTTCTACTTTTATTTGAAATTATCCCAAATTGGATGTGATTTATGGGCAACAATGTTTTTGCCTACCGATCGACCCTTACGAATTTGTGCGTGCGCCGTAAAATAAGTTAAAATAATGATTACCACGCATTTTGAATTTAAAGATGAAAAGGACAGAATGTTTGAGATTTTTTAAATTAATTTTACTTCACCATTTGCCTATAGAATCTTCTATGCCAATTTGGCCGGTTATTGTAAAATAATCCTGTATATAACCTATCATATATAATGTAGATAAATTTAGAAATTTAGGAATTATCTGTTATAATTTATTATTTTAATTATAATTTTTGAATTGAATATAGTAATTAACTACTAAAAATGCATTTCATTTTAGTTAAAGCCAAAAAACAAAATGGAACACCATCAAAACCTCCACTTAAACGACAGTCGTCTAGAAAACAACAACAAGAAGAAAAAGAAACAAATAAAAACACTGATGAAGCTGCGGAAGATGAATCAAAGGAAAAGAAGCGTGACGAAAAGACTAATGATGCAAACAAAAATGAGGTTAAAAATGCAGAAGAATCAAAAGAGGAAACCGAAACGATGGAACAGACAAAGGAATCTGCAAACAATAAAGATACGGACAATATAGAAGAACCAAAAGAAAAAGAAAACAGTCCAAGTCCAAATTCACATGAAAGTGCAAAAAGTCCAAAAGAGAATGCAGAACAAAAGACTGAAGAGAAAACGGAAGAAGGTAAAGTGAAGGAAAAGGACAAGGAAAAAGAAAAGGAGAAGGAGAAAGAACAGCAAAAAGAGAAGGAGAAAGAAAAGGAAAAGGAGAAAGAAAAAGAGAAACAAGAAGTTGACGAGCCCAGAGCAAAGCGATCAAGAGAGGTATGAACGGCTATTTATTTTATTTAATAAAATATGTGGATATGTATTTAGTACAAGTTCCCACCGGTAAGTATGAGATTTCAGCTCATTTTTTTATTCTAATTAGTTCATATTGAAACTTGGCACAAAGGCTCTTAAAAGCATGGACTGTCATTTTTCATTCTGGAGGAAATTTTAACTGAATTTATATTGGAGGTGCTGAAAATTCTCCCACACTGCTGCAATGTGAGTGCTAAACTTTACAAGTCCTCAATATACATTTTCTTCACGCACGCACGACAAGTTTCTAAAAGATATTTCAAGAAATGAGAGAGAGCATACGTGTCTCTTCTCCTTAAGTGCGCGTGTGCCGCTTGTGGTTTGTGTGTATTATCAGCGATCTTTAATGAGGGCTAAAAATCTTCCGCTCACCAGAAGTTACTAGCTGGGACTGAGGTGAAGTTTCTGTTGCACATTGTCATCAGCATTAGAAAGTTGCAAGAGGTAGAATCCCGCTGCAGCTATTTTATGGTTATAGCACAAATGGTTCGGCTCGACTGAGGTACTATGACCATTGTCTTAGAATACCAATGTAAAATAGCGGCTTAACACTTACTGTCCGGTTTTCAGACAATAGCAATGACCTATATGTAATGCATGGTACAGCGAAAGGCTTAATTAATACCGTTTTAAGATAATTGATAGAATCGGGCGTTACTTTGCGGAAATCCATTATAATAAAGATATTAACAGCTACCTTGCAACCATCCGCGCAATTAAATACAATGATGTGTCTTATCTAGATTGAAGAGCACCTCCCGCCCTCCCTCAATTGCGTGCATTCCAATCCCGTCACCACCCATCCCAACTACTCGAAGTATCTTCAGGAAAAGAAGTGCTGAAGATGCCTCGTGTAGAGGCGAAACACGTGTCGTATTATCGTCGATGGTGTGTTTTTCCTGGAATAGTGGTGTTGGGAGTAGTGGTGCTGGGATTGGTGGTGACGGGATTGGAATGTACGCAATTGAGGGAGGGCGGGAGGTACTCTCCAATCTAGATAAGACACATCATTGTATTTAATTGAGTGGATGGTTGCAAGGTAGCTGTTAATATCTTTATAATACTGTTTTGTTTTGTATGGTGAGTGTAGTGAACTGGAGATCCTTTTTCTGGAAACGAGGCATTCTTAGTCCTCAGGGTTAACAATGCATCTGCATTTTGATTTTTAACTGAGGATAAATGTAGATATCAAACAGATGGGCCACAGCATTCACTTACCATCTTTTGAACTGAGTTTACCCTTATTCTATAAAAGAAAGTTTTATAGTAGATATTTATTGATTAATATTTTATTTCAGAGTAAAAAGACTGAACCACCACCTCCAAGATCTCCAACTAAAAGGAAATCTAAATGTTAAAATATATTTTTATTCAAAGTTGGACTTAGTCTATGCACAACATGGCTTTCCAGAATATCTTCAACTGGATTAGAAGAAAATATTTTAGATTGCAATATGTATACTTTGATGAATTATTTGCGTAGATTTGTGTATTTTCATTGTTCGTCATCATAATTTACATTTTATTTGTTTTAAATAAGCATGTTGAAAAAATATGAAGGGAAACAAATAGTGTTCTCAACTTATTTAGTGCCTACTACGCCACAAGGCATCTTGTATTAGTTGCATCTCTATGACAAAGGCCTATGATAGCGCCGAAACATGTTGAATAAGTATTTATTTTTGTGCCGACATTAAATGATTTAAGAAACAGCACTATTGTGGTGAACAATAATAGAGATCCCATGGAGAAACGAAACTTATTATAAGAGTTATCAACAGTAATTTTAATTAAGCTGTATTCATTTTAATCTTTAATATAATTAGATAGATTTATGTATAATTTTTCGTAAAGTTAATATAGGCTACTCTAAGTACATTTATTTTCTTAGTTCTTAAATATCGTAGGTTATTTGTAAATATTTACAGAATATGGACAATTTTTCTAAATCATTATTTTCTGTGACAAATTATAAAATGATATTGCATTTTTTAATGCAGTGAATGCTGCAATATTATTTCACATTGTATTGTATTATATAAAGTGTAATACCTAGGATAATAAGATAATTATAAGATTCGGAAAATCACCCTCTCGTTTGATGAAGAATGTGGTGTGATATTCGGTCTATTATATTTTCATCATGTTCGATAAATAAATATTTTTTGTCGTCGAAGGGAAATTCTCCGGTCCATTGGTAATTGTAAATTGAATTGCATTGCGATGATCAAGCATCTTGTTATGTTGGAAAGAAAATTAAAAAGTAATTTTAAAGTAAATTTTGCTGGTATTTTTATTTTACATCATTATAAGCAAAATGGATCGACAAATGACATAATTCAGGAATAGATTTTTGTGACTGCCATGATAGTCATGTCTCATGATTATTAAAAACAAAATAATTTTAAAAAAATATGCTAATTAAATGTATGAGAGTTCCATCATCCTACAGTTAGTCTCGTGGGTGTCGTAATAGGTGAGTACCTGAGAAATCCAAGGAAAACTCTGCCTTCTGGTAAATGGCAAGGATAAAACGGTACAACTAAATATAGTGCAATCTCGATATAACGAAACTGAAGGGAAATAGAAAATATACGTTATACCAAGCAACGATTAGTTTTAACAAGGTAAAATAAACCTCATCCTCAACATAACATAAATACTCATCTACTTACCCTGTTAAAGCAAACTACATCCACTAATAAATGAAAAAAAAAACCCACTTGAATAAAAATAAAATATTTTTTATTTGTGTCCGAATAGTACAATGAACAACTGTCTTACTAAGAAGTTTCTGAACCTGTCAAGACATTATTTATTGTGGAATTAAGTGGGAATAATTAATGGGATACGTTATGTCAAAGTTCTAAGTTGAAAAAAAATGTTAAATTGGGGTAAATAACACCTATCTATATTCTGCAACAATTAAAAATTCGTTATAAAGAGGTTTTTGATATATGTATTCGTAATGTACGTATATTTAGTATTAGCTCTTACCATAGATTACTGTATATATACTAGAGAGCTCTTACGGGCAGCTCAGGCAAGGAACACTACTTACTCTATGGCTAGAGGATTTCGAAAAATTCGTTATATTGAGGCTCGTTATATCAAGGTTACATACGTACACGATACGAGTACGTATACGAGTGCCTACTCGATACTTTTCTTTCTTTAATTTTGAAAATATTTTTAAAGTTGTTCAAATAAATGAACATTTGTTATGAACGATCTTACGTTATAAAATATTCATGTAATACTTTAGAAGTAAATACAATACAATATCTTAAATAAGTATGCATATCGACAACAAAACCCATCACGATGTGACACGGCAGCCTCTGCAACCTCATCTTTGCTTGTACTAAATGAAAAACCACTATAATAATAATAATACGTTTATTCTTTCCTCTCACAAATTTAGTAATAAATATAAACATACAACTTAATATTAATATGTTACAATTAATTTGTGAGAGACTGGTGTCCGTACTAAGATTCCCTGTATGACAGTCACCAGCCCCCACCTTCAGACCTTATAATTTAGGTAATATTAGGTGTATGATAAGAGAAGAAAAAAAAACACGAAAAATGTTTTGTGTGTGTGTGTATGCGTGTGTGTGTATGTGCTTGTGTTTATAGCGTTTAGGTTTTATTTCGTGATTTTAAGTAGTTCCTCAGTCGTTTCATAATCTTGACTTAATAACCATAGGGTTACCATCTTTTTTGCATTTAAATTTGGGAAATTTGTATATAGACAGAATGGAATTAATTTTATTATATAGATGAGAACCCAAGAAGCAGAAGAAATTATGTGTAAAACTTCTTTTGTATGGTAAAATGGGACAAATGTTACTTTTATTTCTTTTATTTGTAAGAAGAGAAGGATTGTAATATAACAGAGAATGTTGTATTAAAATAGAGGTTCTACCCCAAGCTGTTATGCAATAGGTAATCAATGATTGGCAAAGTGAGAAGTAAGTTGATTTTATTATTGTTTCGTCTGCCACATGTCGAAGATTTTTAAAAATATAGATCAACTTGCGCAACCTATTAGTAAGATTAATGTGTGCTTGAAAATTCAGATTGCTGTCAATTATTATACCTAAATACTTTATTTCATTTACTTTTTGGAGCGAAGGACAAGAACAGTCAATAACATTATTATAATTATGACAGATATATGCTTTTATATGGAAATTAGGTGAAATAGGTGTGTTAAGTTTTTTAAATGTGAATGACATATATTTAGTCTTAGAGACATTTAGCATTAATTTATTATGTGTTAGCCAGTTCACAATTACATTGAGGCCTTTTTGGGCATACAAATAATCTTCGTCCCATGTATCACCGCTGAATAAAAGCGCAGTATCATCGGCATAAGAAACAAGAGTTCCATTTATCAATTTTAACTGGCACATCTTGTATATATAGGTCAAAAACAAGGTAGTATTTTAGGTCCTACCCCGTGGTAGGACCTAAAATACTACCTTGTGGTACGCCATGAGAAACGGGAAGATCATCACTAATCCAATTTCCTATTTTCACACATTGCGATCGGTTAGTGAGATAACTTTCAAAGAATTTCAATTGCGATCCTCTGACTCCCAGCTTGTATAATTTGTGAATTAATAGTGGAATAAAGACCGTGTCAAATGCCCTAGCCAGATCAAGAAATACTGCTATTACTTTTTTGTTGTCCATATGTTTAACAGTATAACCTAAAAACTCATGAACCGCATCTCTTGTAGCTTTGCCATTTCTGAAACCAAATTGTGCATGTGACAGGAGATTTTTGGATTCAAGATACCTGACTAGTCTATTATTTACGACTTTTTCCAAAATTTTCGAAAATGCTGGCAGTACAGAAATGGGCCGATAATTATCAACACAGTCCCTATTACCACTCTTATAAATAGGGTGAATCGTTGAACGTTTGAATTCGTGAGGAAATACTCCTTTATTTAGAGATAGATTACAAATATATGTAAGTACAGGTGTAAGAATATTTTTGTATCGTTTTATAAGAGAACTTGAAATATTGTCCCGTCCTACGCAGTTATTTTTAAGCCTTGATATAATTGTTTCGATTTCCGAATAGTCCACTGGAAGTAATACAAATGAATTACTAGGTGATATATCAGGTGAGCCCAGGGATAAGTTTGTGGAGCGGTTTTGAATAGACTCAGCTATATTCTTTCCTATGTTTACAAAATATTCATTTATGTCATTAATCGACTTCATAGGATCATTAGAAAGAAGTTCTCTAGCTGAGGCTTTGATTTTAGTTGTGTGAGTTATATTTTTTATTATATCCCAGTTTTTTTTATGATAAAGGCTCGAGGAATGGATTTGTTACTTGTCGCAGTACTTACTACTGTTAAACAAGTGGACTTTTAAAGGTTTTCGCACCATGAGGCAAAAAGTAAAAGAAATGGCCCCGGCGCCCCTTTAATGGGGCAGGGGTGCGAAGAATCTCCGGGAGGAAAACCGGCGACGAGGTTCGCCACCCATCACGTTCTGTCTCCCGGAGGGGCGAAAAGTGGATTGCGGAAACCCATCTGGCTACGCTGAATGTATGTGGAGGAATGAATGATAAGATGGATGAGTTGCGAATGATGAATGACAGAGGAATAGATGTGTTATGTGTAAATGAGACGAAACGAAAGGGAAAGGATGCAACTGCACATGGCACGTATACCGCGTATTGGTCTGGTGTAGACGAGACCGAGCGGGCATGCCAGGGAGTCGGTTTCATCCTTTCAGAAAGAATGGGACAATGTGTGAAAGTGTATGAATGTGTAAGCCCGAGGCTGCTATGAATACGAATGAAAGTGGGCTTAAAGAAGCTGTTCCTGCTAGGGATGTACGCCCCAGACATGTCTAAGCCCACTTACATCCGAGAGCAGTTTTGGGACATGGTAAGGATGGTGTTGACAAAATGTAAGGAAAATGAAAATATTATTATGTTAGGAGACTTTAATGGAAGGGTTGGGGTGAAGAGGTCTGGTTATAAAAGGATATTGGGAACGTTTGGTGATGAAAGTATCAATGAGAATGGTGAAGACCTCCTCACCGTATGTGTGGAAAAGAATCTTTTTGTGACGAATACTTTTTTTCGTCATAAGAAGATTCACATGTATACATGGGAAAGAGGTGATGAAATAGAAGCATGATAGATTTCGTAATCGTGGATGAAAGAATGAGGAGCGCAGTCGTAGATACAAGGGTTTACCGGGGGTCCAACGTAGGGACGGATCATTACTTGGTCTTATGTCGAATTAATGGTTTTTTCAAGCGTTGGCGGCATCGGACATCTGTGTCTACCACTGCGTTACAGCGTATAAGAATTGAGAAG